AGTAGTAGTAGTAGTAGTAGTAGTAGTAGTAGTAGTAGTAGTAGTAGTAGTAGTAGTAGTAGTAGTAGTAGTAGTAGTAGTAGTATCATTGTTATTATCATCATCATCATTATCATTATCATCATCATCGTCTTGAATATCTTCCCCAGGTTTGTAGACCCAGTGAAGCGACCGGCGTTGAAGGAGTACTGGGACCGAGCCTTTCAGCGTCCTAGCGTCAGGCAGACCGTGACGAAGGTGCCAACAAACTGAGGCTTTGTTCTGTGCACTGATGACAGGGAGATTTTTGACAGGGGACATGTGGGACGGGAGCAGCGTAGACTTGAAGTCTTATATAATAATAGTTGTGCCACAACGTGGTGGAATCAGACTGTGAACAGTCTAGGATTATATTTCAAAAGTCTATGTGAGGCCATAACAGTGAACAGTGAACAGTCTAGGATTACATTTCAAGTCTATGGGAGGCCATGACAGGGAGCAGTCTAGGAAATATATTCAAGTCTGTTTGTGGGGAACAGGGGGCGGACAGTGAACAGTCTAGGATTATATTTCAAGTCTATGGGAGGCCATGACAGTGGTTGCCGAGTTAAAGTTAAATCAGATTATTATATACAGGGTGATAAAAAAAATTGTACAACTTTTTTTGTTAATATTTTCCTCTATGCTGAAGTTTTGCTTTTCAAATTTGGACACAACATTTGGAAGTCAAAAGGAATTTGTATGATATTCATTTACGAAAAAATCCATAAAATAGTTTTGCTCTTCAAAACGCGTAAAAAACCCATTTTCAACTATGTCATTTTCAACTATGTCCCCATTTTTGTAACATGACGCACTAGTTCGCATTAGGTCTACTACTAAAAATCCCAACCAATGCAAATTACATGTAGTCTAACAGGCCAGCAGAAGTTTGCAAATAGTTTTTCTCAAGTTTCCTTTGCCTCCTGAGATCATGGTTGAGATAAGTAAAGAGCAGAGAGCTTTTTGCGCTGAACATTGCCTTACCACCAACTCTTTTCGTAATTTCGCACAAGGTACAGAAATAATGTTAAGTTGTCCTTAATTAAGGCCTTCTTTGATGTCAAGGGTGGAAATGGTCTATCAGTTAGGACCTGTAGAGAATTAAACCGAAAGGTTCCCAGACAGAACGACCACTTCAGGTCAAACACACACCGTTCGCACCCCAGAATACGTCACCAGGGTGCAGAATTCAGTAGATGAGCCCCCTAAGACGTCTGTCCGAGACAATGTCTACAGCAATGACTTTCCTACATGATCTCAACAGTCCTCATTCTCAAGGCAGATCTTCATCTACGACTGTACCATTTTCCTGTTTGCAAAACTATCAGAGGATAGCCATGTGTTCATGATTCCTCGATCGTTTTTAAAAGTGTGGACATTTCCTCTATGACATTTATTGGTTCCTACGAAGCCCATATTCACCTTTCAGGTTATATCAACTCCACAATTGCTGTCTATTTGGGCAACCTCACACCTCCCATCGATTGTCTCTATAAACGGCTCCATACTGTACTGTAAGGTGCACAGTGTGTGCAGCTCTGAGTACTCATCGTCGGGTGGATCCTTGTGTTTGGCCACCACTGAACATCACGAACGACGCGTTAAAATGTATCGAGTCCAAAGGTGGACATGTAGACCATTGGTTCTCGGAAATCCAAAATCTAAAAAAAAATAGGTTTTTAACTTTGTAGAAGAAAAGAAATATTGTTTAAAGGTTACAGGGATGGAAAGATTAGATTTTTTTTAATAAAAGGAAAGGGGAAAAAAGCCAATCATTTCGTGACTTTCCTTACAAGATCTTTTAAATTGGTGCATTTTCATTTATAGGTGGTTTTTATCAAAGCCATTTCCGTTTTCGAAAATACGTTTCTTCTTTGAGAATTTTATATCAAACAAAGACCTTTTAAATGAATTATATCTGTTCCAAATTACAACACTCTAGTACAAATTGTGTGTGAGATATTCAGAAAAAAAAGTTGTACAGTCTTTTTTTTTTTTTTCTTGGATCACCCTGTATTTCTTATTCCTATTTCAAGTCTATGGCACAAACATACACACACACACACACACACACACACACACACACACACACACACACACAACACAATCGCATCAAGATTGACCGGGAAACCCCGATATACAACCGGTCATATCTCGCCGATCGGCGATGTTTACCACCCAGTTTCTTTGGATTTTCCCCAAAATGCCTCTGCCTTTGATGGCAAGGGTTTTTATTATATGAGCCTTGTGATGAAAAAGTGTTAAAGCGGGTAACCACTCTTTACTGGTGATGAAGCCATGATGATTATACACGTATTATGCACGTTTCATAATGCAAATGAAATAAAGATGATACAAAATCGTTTCTTAGGTTTAATGTTTTGAACTCTTTGCATGTGACGCTCATTAATTGTTGTTGTTGTTGTTGTTGTTGTTGTTGTTGTTGTTGTTGTTGTTGTTGTTGTTGTTGTTGTTGTGTTTGTGATGCTGCTTGTGGTAAGCACTAAGCACGCTACTGTTTTCTCAGGGCATGTAGTTGGGCCTACCTTGTTCTCTTTCATAGCAACACCCCTTTATTAACAAAAGCTGAGGGGCAGGTCGTTAAGTAGAAGTAAAAAACTAGGATGACATAGATTCCAGGGACAATAATCTCTAATCAAAAGCAACAACATAGATCTAAGTGTCGAACCTGCAAAAACGGAAACTTCTCTAAGACAGACTAAGACCGACATCTGTCACACCGGAATCCACCCCCCCTCCCAATCTTCCTCTATAATTAGCTGTTATATAGCAGAAACCCACCTAACGCGTAAACAGAAAGAGAAATTCCTTCCCCTCGAAGGAGGCGGGGAGTTGCAGATGAAGATGTCCAAGGTGGTGTAGGTGTGAAATCTCACCAGAGCCTGTGAAAATTCTCGGGTCGGGCTCCAAACCGGAAACTTTCCTGGGTAGCCAGAGGCCAAAGGTGTGAAATTAGTTTGGCTAATACCTTCTTCTTCTTCTTCTTCTTATTATTATTATTATTATTATTATTATTATTATCTACGGACATAACTCTCCTCACTACAAAAAAGCTCACGTACTGTATGCTTAACACAAAATAAAAATATAAAAAAAAAGAAAGCACTTAAAATAACGGGAAGAGCCACATCTCACTCTCCCTGATTTAATGAATCTAGATCTATGCACTTTCTCTCCCTGCAGTGAGTCTGGTACTACTTGTGTGTTCCGTTTCTACTTGTACCAGACTTCTTCATCACAAAAGAAAGTTCTGCATGACCAAGGGAGACAAAATAAATAAAGCTGAACCGACATGTTCAATAGACAGAGCGTACGGTGAACTCATGTCTTTTGTTTTTGTTTTTCAAAAATGATGCAACGAAAGACTTATTGTGACCAGAACAATAAAGAAAGAACTGAAGAAAGCATGAGACCGTTCAGCTGTCAGGGGCGGGTCTGACGTCTCTCTCTGAAAGGAGGTTATGACTAAGTGGGTTTTCCTCTTCTTCTTTGCGTTCCCCTGCTAGATCTCAGGGGTAGTCGACTGTTGGCTCTTTAACCTACACTGCAACCAGGGACGAAGCGTCTATATAATCAAATAATCACTGCTTCCCTTCCTAATTTTGAAACATTGTCGCTGTCAAATTCATCCATAAATGTAAACCTCTTAAATTAAATGTAAAAAGACGTTCGTAATCAACAATGAACAGTATGCCTAACATTCAAAACGGTTTCACGGCCACAGAAATAGCCTCCTCACCCCTCTCGGGCCACTCCATAAGCAGTCGCAAGCTTTGATTAAGTAAGCTTAAAGTGAGGCTGGAAGAGTCTACCAATAGAGTTGAAGTAACATGTGCATAGCAGTCAAAGCTGTTTCCTTGCCACATATACCCTGTTCACCCCTTTGGGGCCACAGTTATAATTTATAATCAATCACAAGCCCTGATAATGTAAGCTAACTAACACTGGTCGAGTCTACCTCACAAATGTGAGGGGAACTAACTCCTACTAATCTCTTGACTGCTGCATGTGCTTGTTTTTTTCCCTCGACTTTTTACCGTTCTATAATCAGATCGTGACCTCGATTATGACACCAGCTCCTGGCCGCGAAAGGCTAACAAAACAATAACAGCCAAATGTGAAATTTAAAAAATGATAATTGTCATGTTCTACCAAAGTGTTACAACCTGTCCCCGTAGGATTATGCGATTGTGCGGCCGTGTTTTTTTTCGCGTAATTCTGCAACATTTGCATAATTTTGGATTATCCGCGTTTTTTCACAAAACAATGAATTTACGCCTCGCCATGTGACTAAAGGGACGTACTCACCGTAATAACTCTCTTTTAAGTGAAAAGTTGGTTATTTCCCTTGCTAGAAGGTCTTTGTTATGGGTTGTGATTTTGTTCCTTGAGCTTGTTCAATTTTTCAATCCATCAGAAGTTGTTGTTCTCATGTCTGCTGATGTTTCATGTTTGACAGGTGTCCCTGGTTTTAATAATGTGCCAGCATCAGAGGTCCAGATGTCCTTTTTTAATTTTATTTTTTTTTTAACATTTTTCTTTCCTCTATAGATCTGATCTAGAATCTAGATCTACAGCTGAAAGTTACAGAGATGATTATTTTTGGTTGTTGTTTTTTTGTTGTTTTTTTGGGGGGGTTTTGTTACTGATGTGTATTGTTTTCTTTTCCAAATACACAACAAATTACTGATACTGATAAGTTCTGTTTTCAATTTCTCTGTACATAAAACATGAAAATCAGGAAACTTCGCGTTGAAAAAGTGCAAAACATGTCGCGAATGGTGTTACGGTAACTTGCATAATTTTTGCATAATTTTGCTTTTTTTGCATAATTTGGCCTTCTAAATTTGCATAATTCTACGGGGACAGTATAATATATAGATCTAGCACTGACATCTCTGCTTCTTTGCTTTGTGTTTATGTATTCACATCTAAAGTTAAATTTAATTTTAGTTGGAACTGATATTTAATAAGATACATTCCCGATTATTTTGGCGGTTCAACATACAACATGAATTCCGGATTTGTTTTCATTCACAACTCAGAGTCGCCGCCTCGAGTAAGATTCTTGTGTGATATCTACAGGCCATATCTGGTCCCGTTTCACTTTGATTACCCTGTCAAACAAGTCAGCCTTCGCCCCTCAGTGCAATTGTTTGTTAACGTATGTGAACGCCTTTACTACCGGAGAGGCAAGAAAGTGGAGATGATCGACAGCAGATGACAGAACATGTCTAGAGAACAGGAAAGGAAGTGAAAGGAGACATTTTTTAGAAGAAAATTGTCCCCATTACTGTTAAGTTTTGAAGCCTGGTTCTACTAAATGAGAGACGAACACTGTAGAATCTACCTTTATATCCCTAAAGGCCCGGTTACATGTAACGATAAATTGGACAGAAACTGGACGATCTAGCGAGCATACGATAAATAGTTATAATGCATATATAGCAGTTTTATTATTTAGTTGATCGCCAAGGGTGAAGCTGTGCATCAAGGTCACTCGGTGCTTTGCACATCAGCAGTCAAGTCAAAGCTTCTACTTCTAACACAACACGGTACAGTATGGCCACCCTTTTCTAAAGACACTGTTCTGCTATACAATATCAAAATGTACAAGTACAATGTTCGCCTTTCATTCATTAGGTCCCGAGCTCGAAACCTTCACATAGGGTGCAGGCAAATCGCTGTCGTTGCAAAGAGACATGGTGGTTTTATGACGAGGAATCTCCTCGATCGAAGAAAACTGGACGATAGATTGGAACGTGAAACTTATATTGTATAAAACCCGTCAGATTGACGTAAGCGTGCGTTTGAGCGGAGCGTGCTTTTGTATGGCGTGCGTTTAGGCGGAGACTATTGTACTGATTTTAATTAACAATGCCAATACATTGGAAAGAAATTTCATATTTATGAATTTTCCTTTCCTCCTCTTTACAGGACAAAAGGATCCGGGACTGGTGATTGCGGTCGACACTTTAGAATGCGGACAGCTGGAGTGCCTCCTCATAATGACAACTGCAACGAAAGAGATATTTAAAATGTTCGGGGAGGTCGTCTTCGTGGGTGCCACTTACAACATACACAACCTTCGTTGGTCTCTCTACGCCTTCCTGGTCGAGAATGGGCTTGGCAAGGGTCAACCAGTGGCGCATGTTTTGATGATAAGAAAAAATACAGGCCCAACAGTCCAGAACTTTGTTGATAGGTTCGCCTTGCTCGATGACAAAAAGAAAGTGCAAGTACGAGTAGTCATGGTGTATTAAGATCATAAAGAAATCCACGTCGACGCCTTGAGGCACACTTTCCAACATGCCTCTCTGCAAGTTTGCAAATTTCATGTCAGTATTATGTTGAAGGATTAAGATAAATTGTATCTCCTCCTATGCCCAATGAGACGGATTCTGGCAGAGAATTTGCCACGTTTTGGGCTTTTAAAGGCTTCATTTCCACTTGTGGATGCTCGCATGCGATTTTGGGCGGTCTTTGGTCCGCGAATTGCGGCCGCCATTTTTGATTTTTCAAAGAATTTTTTAAAAAAAGAAACACCGCCGGGAATTTTTTTTTAATTGAAAAAGAAGGAAAAAAAGAACAGAAACCGAACATCATTGCCGTAATTTTAGAAAGAAAGTTTATTTTCTCTTCCGTTTCAATCCGTCTCTTTCTCACTTCTTTTTTTTTCTTTCTTGTTGGCACCACGTTGATTTGTTATTTTTCCTGTGAAGAATATAAAAGTTATAATGTACATGACATACTATACTATTTGTATTGCTGTTTCTCTTTTATTTTCCCTTCTTTGTTGCGTTTTAATTTGTTGGTGTGTTCATTTTCTTTTCTTGTTATTGTTCTTGTGTTGTTTTTTCAATTTTATTTGTTTTTATATAGCATGATGTCATTTAATTTGATGTTGTTCCTACCTTTTTAAAAAATATAATGTGTTATGTAAGAGTGTCTCCACCAAAACCGAATATTGACACTGGCAGGCCCCTTGTGCGTGATTCCATAATTTACATGTACGAGGGCTGTTCCACGGAAAACCGGAAAAGGTCCATAAAAGCAATTTTAAACAGCCTATCAGAGTCTGTTGGATAGAGGATCCACCCTGGAAAGTCGAAAGTCCTAAGGATAGATGCACCACGAAAGGGGCAGGTCACAGTACAAGGAAATGCACTAGAAGACGTCGAATCCTTCTGCTATCTTGGGAGTATAATGGACAAAGAGGGGGGAACAGGCGCTGAAATAAAGTCCCGCATTGGAAAGGCACAGACTGCATTTATTTCTTTGAACAGGATTTGGAGGACCAGGGATATCTCATTCTCTCCGCTGTAACCTGGTGGTTCTTGCTTTGCCCGTACACCAGCACATCATCAGCAAAACTGAGTACACGTCCGGGCCCTTTCAGCTGGTTGGATGTTATCCCTATTGTATAGACGTGTTGAACAGAACTGGCGAGAGTGCAGATCCCTGTGGTAAGCCTGGTGTGATCTCGGTAGGTTGCGAAGCCCAGCCACCAAGACGTAGTGCTACCTTTCGTTTGAGCAGCGCTGCCCCAATCCATTGCACTAAATCAAATGTGGATCTACCCTCAGGTTGACTGGAGTCTTCATGAGGGTGTCGCACTGAAACTCTGTTGTAGGCATCTTCCAGGTCAAGTGCTGCTACCAGTGTCCCCCCCCCCCCCCCCCCCGTTCGAAACCATCATATACGTCGGATGCAAGAGTGGCAGCATTCATCCATGTGATCTTTCCTCTTCCATGGCTGCCCAGTTCCGGCGGTAGGACGTTCTTTTCCTCCAGCTCTATTGCCAATCTGCGTGCCACGATTTTCTCCAGCAGCTTCCCGACGGTATTTCGCATGGTCACTATGCGATATGAGGCAATCTTGCTTTGGTCTTTGTCTGACTTAGGAACTGGGAACAGGTGACTGTCCAGCCAGTCTTCAGGTATCTCCCCAGTCCACAGGCTTTTGTTTAGCCTCTCGGCTAGTGCCATTGTCTGTCCTTCCTCCATGTTCTTCATGTGGCCATAACGTACTCCGTCAGGACAAGAAGTGTTGGATGCTTCCTGGACATATTTATGTAACACATTTCGTGTGTCACAAATTGTAGACAGGGTTCATCTTTGTAGTCCTGTTGGATCCTGTTGAACAGCTGTTTTCTCTTGTCCTCATCTTTCCTGTCAATTTGTCTTAGGTATCTCTTAAACAGAGCACGGCCTTTTTCTTCATCAGTGGGCATCCACATACCATCCTCTCCTTGGAAATCAGGGATAGCTTGTTTGCTCTTCCTATTAGTCATGCACCTGTAGTTCCAGAATTGATACAGGGCCCTGTCGTTGTTCATGCCTCGGCAGAAGTTGTCATATGGTAGGTCCTTGGTTTCTTTTGCTGCCTCATCGAATCTGATATCTGCTAGCTTTTTCTCAGCTTTCAACAGCACGTTTGATTTTGATCTGTCCCTCTCGTGTTTTCTCAGCGCTAGGCGTTTATCTTCCACAATGCCTCAGTCTCTTCATTCCACCAGGGTGGCTACTGTGCCACTACTCTATGCTGTACTCTGGGTGGCCTGGAGCTCTTTCGCAGTACACTGATGGGGTTGTTGCCTTACGCGGGGTAGAAGAAGACTCGTTTCTGTCTTTGGTGGTTGCTGTTTCTTCCTCGCTTTACAAATACTGAGCATGGTATATGATCGCTGCTATAGTTGTGTAATACTCTCCATGTACAGTCTGTCGTTAGGTCTACCAAGACGAGTGCAAGGTCTATAGCACTGCCGGAGTCCCCATCTCTTGGGGCTAGTCTGGTCATGCTGCCATTGTTGATGCAGGTGAGGTCACAACTGTCCAGGGCATTTTCAAGTCTCGTCCCTTGAGGGTTCATCACTGTTTCCCCAATCACTCCCTCGCGCGTTGGAGTCGCCACAAAAGATTGTTTTTCCAGGTAGAATCTTTCGCTTTCTGAGCCATTTGGTGCTAGAAGACACCCAATATAATTTAAATTGTCAAAGATTAAGTGTCTTATTACTACTACTAGTACTAGAGAGTAAAGAAAAGGAGCAGACAGATGTTTGTTAGTCAAGGAGCAAACCACACCAGAGCATTCGCCAATCACCCACTTAGCTGGACTCAAACAGAAACAGCATTTATATAGAGTACCGTAGAGCATATTGATATCCACGCTCTACAGTAAGCCATGTGCGCTTTACAATTTGCAGCTTTTATTACCCAAGCAGACCATGAAACCCTCAGAAACATTCTCACTTATATTTTATTCTCACAGTACTCTGGAAGTAAATAGTGCAAGACACTGATGACTGACATGATCTTTCATCAACTTAAGCAGTTTAGCTGGGCACCCATTGCCACCTGGGTGAAGTGAGTGAGAGGTAAATTAATGTTCAGTCAATTCAGTGTCTTGACAAAGGATGACGAAACATCCGGCCCCTGACAGTTTAGTAGTTTTAGTAAAAGTTTTACGGCACTCGCAACACAACAAAGTCATATAAGTGCCAAAGAATAGATGCGTTACAAGAGAGTAACATACACAAAAAAGGAGACAAGGACGATAGATGTTTGATGATAGTGATGATAGGAAAGAAGGAGCAAACCATACCAGAGAGCCCGCCAAACACCCACGGCCCCCAAACCTTACGGTTATGAACCTGCCAGCTTAGGTAAGATGTCCCACAGACACCCTAAAACTACAACCACCAGCTGTATCCTTCTGCAAGTTTCAAACAAAAGTAAATGAATAACACAAGAAAATTGATCACAACAAAAACAACAGCACAAGGCACACAAAGCAACTCTCAACATCAGACGTAATATTTTCGTACTTTTTATTACGCAGATTGACATGAGTAACAAGTGACATAACCACATATACAGAAACACGGCCACTTTTGAATGCAGCACTCTCCTAGTTTTTTTATTTTTAAAAAAAGAAGAAAACAATACAAGAGAGAGATGGAGGTGGTCCAGAGCACAAGGCGTAATCCTCAGTCACGTCACAGCTCTCCCTAGCATCCCTATCACACTACTGAAACTTGTCAACTACAAACATGTGCTTCCACCATTCGGTCAGTCCTCACAAGACATGAGGGGGAAATAACGCACACAACAGGGCAGGGGGGAGGGGAATACAACCCAGATTACCCCCCAGCACAACAAGTGGCTTTATTTATAATTTATTAGCCCTAGAACAAAGTTAGCAAACGCAGAACCTCGAAGAAGGAACTGGAAGAAACACAGTTGAAAAGCTTATGTTGTGCCCTTCCAGAGTGATAAACCTTCATGCATGTTACTGGGTAATCCAAACGTCATCATCGTACGGTACTGTATATATATAAACGCTAATGGTTGTGCCTTCATCTCAAAACTTCACAAAACACATAAAATTATAATACAGACTTCAATGAACATCTCACGGTTACTGAGTACGGTAATGAACTTTTAAAACAAAAGAAAATCATACAGATGAGTGGATATAAAAGCTTCATCTTGGAGAGAATGCATCTCACAATACACACATTGTCTCAGTCTGCCACTCGTGGGGGGGATACCAGTCAGTACATCTCCCTCTTCCAGTTGATTCAAATGAGAACGAGTAATCATTGCCAAAGAAACACAATTGGCGAAGAGTAGAAGAAGAAGAAGAAGAAAAACTGGCGGGCCACCTGGTGGCACTGACTGTAGGTCTCTCCAGAGCAACTCAAATTCGTGGCAGACAAAACCATGGCCAGTTCTTTCACCCCAGGACACGACCCGAGACAAAGCACGCACATCCTGTAACCTCCTCCACTAAGCTGCCAATGTAAGTTGCAACCTGAATTAGATGATGAGACTAAAATAAATAATCGGTGAGCCTCCGACTCAAGCAAAGTATCTGTACATAAACATACACTAAGTAAGCTCATTCAGCACAAGGAGGACACAATTTCCCAGCTGAGAATTCACTCAAGAAACTGACAAGAACGACGACTCGGTGGTGTCAGCAGCTGAAAGGGAAGTTCCGAGATCTCCGCCTGATCGCACTCTCTCAGCTGTTAGATCCTGAACTTGTGCCGTGGACAGCCAACACAGGGCCTGCCACACACACACTCCGACAGACGGACAAGACAGGCCACAGAATCTGTACAAGACATGTGCGGCTCTCCCCCCAGGAACACCAGAGACACGCTGCCCACACACACAACTAGAGTTGTCAATAAATGTCACTGAGCTTCACTTCACGCTTTCATCTTACTGGAACAACATTCATACCCAAAGACACAACACTTCTACACTTTGTCAAAATTCCAATATATAGCTTCATTCACGCTATTCCTCTTCACAAATTTTCACCCAAAAAAAAAAAAAGGAAAGAAAAACAGCATTCTCAAAGCATTGATCGTTAATATTTATTGATTAGTTTCGGGAATTTCAAGACAAAAACCTGCAACAATCATCTTTACAAAACGTGAGACACCAGATCAAGCCACACACAGTCAGCCCTGGCCTCATAGTCCTCAAGCTAAGAAAGAGACTCAAACACCAGACAATCAGCACAGAGACCATCACAGGACCATCCCCTGACACTACCACCATCCACAACAAAGATATTCTCTGGAGGACTGAGAGATAACCAGGTCAGCACCGCTACACACCACATGCAACACGCAGAACAACACAACACAGCACATACAGCACAACTCACTGCTCTCTTGTATCCATCCATCTGAGATCTAAAAAAACTAAATGTCTTGTATGCTGAAACAACAGAGTAGACAGTCCTGTGTAGCCGGGAGGTCAGGACCTATGGACTACCTGATGCTACCGCCCCAAGGTAAACGAGCCACACACAGGACAAAAACATACTGTGGGGCATGTTTCCAAAGCAGCTAGGAACTAAAGGTAACATACCTACTGGAAAAATACCAACCGGGAGGACACAAGTTCTTTCAGGACCAACCTTCCTTCTTCAAAGCACTTTCTCACCCACACGGAAAACAACAACGCTGACATGAAACAACACTTCCACGGCTTGCGAGTATATCTTCATATATATTGCAATATTTCACGCTACAACTCAGTGTGTGTATGTGTTTGTGTGTGTCTGCGTGTGGATGAAGCATGATGCAGCAGTGTGATGGGTGCGTGCCACAGCTGTGATGGGACAAAGATGATGGTGAACAAAACAAACTCTGATAATACTGGCACGTCACCAAGAGGTCCAGAACACAACACACATTTGTTCTCCCTAACTACACATCACCAACACACACACACAAACAACAGACTTCTGGTGGCTAGCCTCATGCCCTCACTGCCTCATGAGACAGGAGAAAGGAACCTGTCAGACATCACTGCCACATGATACAGGAGAAAGTAAGCCAGCCTCAGCACCGCCGTCATCCACTTGTCCAACACTGACAAGCACCACACCTGCTACTACTACAGCCACACGCTTACAATCACCACACCTGGTACACACAAACACACCGGTACATCCGCACACACACTGACACCAGAACACACTATCATTCAATGAGGCCGTCATCTTCACCCATGGCCTGCCCCTCTCTCTCTTTCCTTCTCTCTCGCTCTCCACTGACAACTTGCAAACATATACCTGGACAACATTTTGCTGTCACTTTTGCAAATATACGTGTGGCCCGCGGTTTAGCAACTAACAGAATTCTGGATCATGAGCTAGGTTAGATCAAGGTTCTAATACAAAATGCTAATGCCATAAATAACGAGGACAAATACCACAAGAGGCTCCGAGAGATAAACCAACAAGCCTCCCCACCCCACCTCAAAGCCAGCGTTCGCGCATTAGTGGGCACACAGTCTGAGAAATTGTTCACCTAACCCATCTGTCCTGACCAACCTCCCTTCGACACTGATATGAATTGTTCAATTATTCACTTCATCTGACCAAGTCGCAGGACACAAAAATCATTGGTCTGTATATATGGGAATCTGTTCAATGTTTACACTGCCCACTACAGGCAGGCAGCTGATGAGACTGAGGTTAACAAGAAAACAAGTGCTGAGGAGGATGGATGTAAAACAAGAGGAAGATGGATGTAAAGGATGACTGACCCATGCGAAGTGACAAGAGGATGGAGAGAATGGCGAACAGACGTAATGGTCAAACAGCTATGTTACATATCATCATGTACACATGAGGGATGATCATCAGATCAGACACATAGTGGAACTGTTCCTCCCAACTTTTCCTCTCTCTCTGAGGAGATGATAACAAGAGGGAGGTGGTGAGCGAGAGAGAGAAAGAGTAAAAGAGAGAGAAAGAGAGAAAAAAGATTAGATGAATTGAGAAAAAAACCCAGAGGAGATGGAAGTGTCGTGGTGTCGGCAAAGTGCCTCATCTGTCAGCCCCATGATCCTCCCATGCTGGTCTGTCTGTGGGTGTGTGTGCACGCATGTGTGTCTGTGTGTATACAGTGTGTGTCTGTGTGGGCGTAGGTGTAGGGCAGGGTAGAGAGGTCTAGGAGGGCCGGGCGGTGCGGCGCGGCCGTGGTCTAGCTCTGGGGGTTGGCGGCGTTGTTGGGGATGGTCATGTTGGAGGACATCACTGGGGAGCTGGAGGAGCCCACCGTACTAGTCACTGACGAGCCTGGGGACGCACACAAGAAGGTCAAGGTCAGTTATACTCCACTGCATCACATACAACAATGGTAACTGGGGGGGGGGGGGGGGGGGGGATATAGAAAACAAAAACAAGGAGGTAATAATAGGTTTTTGTTTTGGTAAATTTTACGGCACTTGCTTGTTTGTTTTAGTAGAGGTTTTACGGTGCTCGCAACTGCATAAGGTCATATGTGCGCCAAGGGGAGGATGTCAACAGAGAAGTCCTTACAGGGAATTAGAATTACTCTGCTCACCTCTCTAGCTTCAACAGCACTAAGTCTGCTTCGTCTATCAAGGCCCCCCCCCCGGAAATAACGGGTCACAAGAGTATGATTAACATACAAACAAAAGTAGAGGAAAATGATGACAGTAAGGATTAGGAAAGAAAAGGCAGCAGTTCCCGGTTGTAGTTCACGCACACAGCTATGAGCATGACATTGTTGGATCAGCCCATTTACAATTCTACAGTGCAATAGAATGAGAAATACCCCCCCTTTGGGAATGGCCTAAAGACACTTCAGTCAGTGGCACCGCCCCAAGGGTATGGCACTAGACGAAGATTAAATGTGTTATAAGATAATAACAAACAAAAAAGGAGGAGAGATAATGACGATAGATTTTTTATAGGAAAGAAGGAGCAAACCATACACAGAGCACCTGCCAACCACCTAGAATCCATCACTTGTCAAAAAGGCAAAAAGAAAGCAAGTTTTACGGTCCAGTATTTTGGGAATGGTTTTTTTTTTTCAAAATGGTGTTCTTACACCCCCATTAACACAATTTAGATACCGGTAATTCATAAGACAGACTTCTGCCCCTGCTAGTTAGGGCTAACCAGGGCAGAGGGTCTGAAGATAGACAACATCCCAGCAGATTTGGCAGAAGGACCAAAAACACTTGATTTAAATTTTTCCCCCTCGGAAACTGAACTCGGGTCTACAGTGTGCGGTGGTGAAGCGCCTAACCGCTTCATTACAGACACTGATAAAGTTCTGTGTGAAAATATCAAGAAACAACTAAATAACAAAAGACTTGTACAACATGTCAGCATCTAAGAAGAACAAAATATACGAGGGCCGTTCAACAGGTCTAAACATAACCCGAACTATGAAAAAAGCAAGCTAGTAAGTCGAAATTTCACACTCAAAATGCTACTTCTCTAAATAGCCAAACTGTAAATACAGAAACTTTTGCTATCTCTGTTTCAAATTCGAAAGTCCTTGAGCATAATAATATGACCTCGGATGGGGGACTGAATCCATTCCTCCACTGCAGATATAATATCTTTATCACTCTCTGAGAATCTGAGGACATTTTCACATTTTGGAAAAGGATAATCCAGAGGGTAATATACCCGATGAATAGGGTGGGTGGGGGAGCATCTTGTACCCACACTTCTTTGTGGTCGGAGTTGTCTTCACCGCTCTGTGCACTGAAGCATTGTCATTAAGCAGGAAGCATTATTGTTTGGTATTCAACTTAGAACAATGTTGACTACAACAAATGCTCTCAAACTCTCAAAACTCATTGGATTTGCCCAAATTTCCTCATGCACGCATTCCAGAAAAATAGAAATCACATTCTCCAAATTTCAGTATTGCACAACAATTCCTTCAGTCAAGGTAAGTAAGGACTTCTTGAACGCCCCTGGTATAACACAAAGCAAAAACAGGCCAAACATTGAGAGACCACCAGTCCCACAACACAGCCTCTGTTCCCTAACGCATACAGCAACTGTAGCTGGTTGCAGCTTTGAACTGTTGCCCTTGAAAACCAAGCCTCAAATGACAACTGAGCTTCAACTACATATGGATAACAGATGAAGTAACACACATTCTTGCACAACCTCCAATAATAACAGACCTGCCACTCTATGAAACCTCAAAATCAGGATCTCAGGGAGAAAAAATCGGGATTTGGTGAAAAAAATCGGGATCAACAGCAAATCACAAAGGTGACTGCCAAAGCTGACTTAAAATTTTTCCAGGGGTGTCCATAAATTACTTGGCCTATGCCCTCTGGGTGTCTTTGTTTGTCTGCGTGCGCGCGCGCGCACGAGTTAACGGTATCATTATTTTTTGTAAATCCTGAAGAATCACGTCAAGCACTCCTCGTCCAAGTGTCTATACCCCCCCCCCCCCCCAAACCAATAAGTCCCGAAATACATGAACTTAAGTTGACCCGTCAACGGACGGTCCCCGACACGCAGAACTCACACGGCGATGTCATGTCACGTGACGCGAATGCGCGATTGAAACAATTTTATTAACGGGTCCGACTAACTGCGCGTTCACACAAAACTCTCAGATGAGCGACAGTCGTTCTACTTCTAGTATTCTTGGATAACGACGGGGGCCGACCGACCAATTGTACCAACAAATCTCTTATCCCTCATAATGCGTTCAGACTAAAGCAACGACAACGGCCGTATGTTTGTCTTGTCAGCGCAGTTACATGTAGTTGTGTAAGGGTTAGAAAGACTGCCGCTCGTCTGAGTGTTTGGTGAGAACGCGCAGTTACCAGACCTCGGACAAGGCTTGTTTTGAAAGTAGCAGCGGAAGTACGAATACTATCGGTTATTTTTAAGTCCTAAATTGTAACAGTTACCAGGCTATCATTGGAGAATTCTGAGTGTGGGCAAGCAAAGATCACACACAACTTGGGGCGAGTCAACTACTAAATGCGGCATCGATATTTCGGGAAATAGTGCTCGAGTTCCTACTGACAAAAAGTTCATCGGGTGCTTCCCGCGATAAAGGAGAAGGCAGAGTACGTTTTTAGAAAAATCCGGCACAACAGCGGACTGGGACAAAAAATCGGGATACACGCGATCGAAATCGGGAAAATCGGGATGCTTGAGATTTGGGGCAAAAAATCGGGATATCCCGACTAAATCGGGATGAGTGGCAGGTCTGAATATACAGTTTCTGTATTGTAAATTGTAGTCATATGTCATGTTTTAGTTTTGGTAAGAGTTTTACGGCACTTGCAACACAATAAGGTCTTAGAAGTGTCGAAAATTAGAGATGTTACAAGAGAGTAAGAGACACAAAAAGGGAGAGATAAGGACGACAGATGTTTTTAGTTTTTAGTTTTAGTAGAGGTTTTACGGCGCTCGCAACTGCATAAGGTCGTATGAGCGCCAATGGGTGGATGTCAACAGAGAAGTCCTTACAGGGAATCAGACTTACTCTGCTCACCTCTCTAACTTCAACAGCACAAAGTCTGCTTCGACTATCAAGGCACCTCGGAAATAGTGGGTCACAATAGTGTGACAATCATACAAAAGAAGTAGAGGAAAAATGACAATAGTAAGGATTAGGAAAGAAAAAGCAGCAGCTCCCTGTTGTAGATCAGGCACAGTTATGAGCATGACATTGATGAATCAGCCCATTTACAATTCTACTGTGCATGAACGAGAAATGTCCCCTCTTTGGGAATGGCCTGAAGACACTTCAGTCAGTGGTGGGATTGACAGATGTTTGATGGGAAAGAAATAGCAAACCACACCAGAGCACCCTCCAATCTCCCAGACATGTGTCCCATTGTTTCTGGACACTACACTCACAGACACTCACCATCCAGCTTGTAGTTTCATTTTAGTTAAGAGTTTTACAGCACTTGCAACACAAAGACCTCAAATAATTGCTACAGATTAGAAGTGTTACTAGAGTGTAACATAAATGAAAAGAAGATTTAGTTTTTTAGTAAGAGTTTTACAGCACCTGCAACACCACAATAAGGTCATATAAGTGCTGAAGATTAGAAGTGTTACAAGAGAGAGAGTAACAAACAAAACAGAAGGAGGAGAGATAAGGACAAATATTTATAGGAAAGAAGGAGTAAACTATACCACACCATGCCCAAACCACCCACAAAAATAACATACCAGTACCTGCTTCTGACATTTGAAAAAATATCTAGATTATACAAGGAAGGAATGTGGGAAAGAAGACAACACATTCATAACAAATTAATGGACAAGTAAACATGATGCATTCACAAACACATAGATACACTGATACACATCACATATACACGCAGAAGCATGGAAACAACCATGCATGCAGTCACCGACAGACAAAAGCCACTCAGACCTAGCCAGCGATGCCCAAACAGAAAACATTCAGCCACTTGTGAGAGCAGGAACACCACACAACACCTCACAAACAAACACAATTTTCATCTCACTAAAACCAAAGTAACAACAAAGTTTAACTCAAAGAACACCAAACAATGCGTAGAACATAAACAAAATTACAAAGTAGAATCTTCCCAAATCCATGCAGACACAAGCAGCCAACCCGTATTTTTGTGACATGTAAATTTTAATATTGAGAACTGGCCACGTTGTCCAATGTTTAATCAAGTCTCAAAATGTAGGTGTATTTTGAACTAGAGGGTGACACTGGTCTGTGACAAAAACTCCACCGTGGGTCGCCAGGTGAGAGTGGGACTCAAATAGCGTAATAAACTGCACCATGCTTCAGATCAGTCACTCCTTCTCAAACACAATGGAATGTCCAGCACAATCCATTCTATTGTTTCTGTCATTGTAATAATTGTAAATCCGTTTTCTACACTGCCCATAACCACATTTTAGATCATTATTAATTAACAAGGCAAGCTGCTTCCACCCTGCCTGTCAGAGCCAACATGATACGAGAGTGATATGCCCGGCAAAAAGACTGAGATGCTCAATCAAATTCTCCCAAAATGAGAATCGAGCTCACTTTTGCATACAACAAAAGTGTGGTGCCTAACCACTAAACCACTGAAGCCAGTCTATTGTTCCTGTACACTACAATGATTAGCATTTTATTATAATTTATACACATCCTCCAAACAAACGTAGCAAATTTCATTCTCTTACTCAGAGGACAAACATTCTAGTTAATCGACAAAGCTTGAAGGTTTGCAGCATTTCCTTATGTGTGCTCATTTTTCCCACTTTGTTTACTTTATTTTAAACTTCTCATATGAAGA